ACACACATCAATAATTCTCTGATATTGACAATTCATCTTCTGAGGCCTAGGCTTCCCACAAATCAAAAGCTCTCCGGGAATGTTTCCAATGAGGCAAAAGACTGACACAGTGAAGGGACTCTACATACTATGTCTGCTGTGGAGGATGGAGCAAAGCCAGCTCCTGAAGTGGAAAATGCAGCTATCAGAGTAAAAAATGACTCAGGGATCTGCAGCTACACCACTATTTTGCAACAATGCAAAAGCAGCAATTACAGCACCAAGACTTACAAGAATTCAAAGGATTACACAACTGAGCATGAGGTTATGCAAAACTCTGTTCATCCAAAGTGCAATAAGCAATAGATGGGGAGGGCACTTATCCCCCACTATAAAATATATTCACAAGGACTGTACATATACATACACAAAGGGTACCAAATATTCCACTTGCCTCCAGTGCAATCTCAGTGACACCGGGTTTGTGAGAGGTACAAACCAGCAGCACAGAATGTAGGCCTGTGTAGCGCATTGTTTTAGGTCTGGACATGGTATTTCATTTCAGTGACAGCGGAATTCTCTAGGATTTTTTTTTTCCACGAGTGAAAGCAGCACTCTGCGTATTATACGCTCTGAGCCAGACCCTCAGCTAGTATAAACAGACATAGCTGCACTGAAGTCACTTTACACCAGCTGGGGATCTGGCCCAGATACTTTATCTATATATACCTGTTTCTGCTGTTTTCTAGGATATTTTCTTCATTACAAAATAAATTATCAGACAAGAGGTTTTCCTTTCTGCGTTTTTAATCACCACTTGGCAGTTTCTATAGGGGCCCATATTGTAATTGGTTGGTTCCATGACAGTTTCATTCTCTGAACTTTCACGTTTCTATGGAAAGTCAACAGTTTTCATTGAGCCAAGTCCAATGAGAGTTTTGGCTGAGTAACACATGACTAAGCACCTGAGAATTTGACCTATTGTTTGGTGGATTTCCAAAGAAGTTGCCGATCCTTTCCTTCAACTTCAGGTGGCTTGAGACCTCCACAGCTCACACCCCACTTGTGTTGACTTCAGAGAGAAAAGTAAAATCGGCAACAATTGTCAGGTGATCTACATGCAAATCTCAGAACTAATGATGCCTCCTTTACCCATCCTGTCTGTGTTGATCAGTGTCACCATATCCAGGTCATCTTCCCAGCCTTGTCTCACAATGAATAGTCTATTGCTTCCTGACCCTTCCACCTTCCAGTGCTTGGAACAGCACTGTGGTTCTGAGATAAGCACACAGCAACAGCATTTGAAGTTTTAATACCAAATAGCCAAACAAATGTGGTCACTGACAAAATATGCACAGCACTTGCAATGAGGACACGGCATTTGTTTGCACTCAGGGCCGGTTCCTGTTCCCACTGAAGTCAATGGAAGTTTGGCAGTAATGTCAATGACAGCAGACCTGGGCCCTTGCTAAAGAGAATGTCACCCTGCCACTTGTGAGGGGATGCCGTTTCCCTCCCGTACTTGGCCCAATCAATCTTATAAGCTACCCTGTCCTGGTGTGTATCCTCCATGTCACATGTACATGTGATTCCATTCATGAGGGTATATTCATATTACAAACACTGCACACCATTGTTGGTTGCTGGTTGTTCAGACTAAAAAACACAGGAGAGGAAATTGAGAACCACAACTTGTAACTAATGTTTTACTTCCTCTGGATTGCTATATAATAATAATTAATATACACACACACTGATGCAGCGTATGCAACATGTAGATAATGAAATTGTGTGTTTACATGCACCTACTGTACTGTACAACAGCATTCTGTATCTAAATCCATGTACTGTACAAAACAAGCTTCATTAACAAATGGCACCTGATTTTCTGAGTTCTTAAATCTTGCACTGTGTCAGGTTTCATTCTGCTAGGACACCCTGTTAATGTTTATCTGGAAAGAGATTGTTTTTGTAGACCCGGTGACGTCCCCTAACAGCAATTGCATGTACCCTGTAACATCATCGCTATCTGTTTGCTTCAGTGGGACTGGCTGTATTTTAAAGGCTTAATATGGGAATTGAACTGTGCACAGGATCTGCTTACAGCCTGACATCAACAGCAGGGAGAGATGCACCAGGCAACCTCCTTAAAGCAAACCCTGTTCTCTGCTTGGTGCTAGGGGGCAGTCAATGGTAGACAAGCAGGGACATCCTGGAACTCATCTCCCATAGGAGGTAGACAGCTAATGAAGGAGGAAGAAGCTTTCTCAGACCACATTCTCTTTCTCTGTATATACTTTGGGCTCAGCCCTGCAGTCCTGACCCAGGCAAAACTCTCTTTGTAATGGCAACCACGCCTGCCATCCTTTGAAGGAGGATTCAAGGATCAGGCTCTTTTAGTCACTCTTCCCAAAGGACCAGGCCCACCTTGCTGGGGAGAGGAAGGAGCAGCAATTTCAACTCCTCTTCCCCATAAAAGCCAATAGTTGAGACAAGGCTTCACATCTATGCGTGTTGTGTGTACATGGTTCAAAATGTTTCAGAGCTGAATTCACTGCAGCACCTTGTATCACCATTTATACCAGAGCAAAGTGAGTGTGAAAACAAAGCAGAATGGCAGCGTTTACACCTGCTTTGAACTTACTTCACAAGGGGGCAAATGACTACACAAGGTGCAGGTCAATGGTGAATTGGACCCTAAAGGGAATGTGGACAATACACAGTTATCTCTACAATCCTTCCACAGACTTCCGCAGGGTTGAATGCTCCGCATGTTTAAAGAACGCCTGGTATTTTTCTTTTGAATTTTGTTGCCATTATTTTTTATTTCACATTCCACATTTTTAAAGGCGATTTGAATCATACACACCCAGAACTCCTTAGTTTTTCCTGCACACACACTTTTGTAGTCTCTGAGCTCGCATCACCTTGGCGGAAAAGCTATGACATGGTGGGCCCACTTTAACTTGCAGATACTCCTTTGCAAAGTAGCACAATAGTGCAAGTGCGTGTACTGTGACTGCAAAGTCTCAGCTATAAATAGTCCCACTTCACTGTGTTGCATGGTGTCTGGCTTTATGTCTTTTAATTTGGCCTTCTCCTTTAAGGACAACTGTTAAAGGTGCAGAAGATAACGCAGCGTTGTTTTTGTGGAGATTTGCCTTAGCATTCTTCTAATTTCACAGATGCAGTGAGTCTCTCCCTTAATCACACTTCACAACTGGCCCCAACCTGCAGGAAGGGCTGTCAGAAAGACACCCCCCGCCCCATGCATTTTGCTCCAAATTCTGCTGCAGCATGTCCCTCCCGGTCACCTCTCTTGAACCCGACTGCAGGCTTTTTACTACCTTAATAACCACCTTGCATGGTGTAAACACTAATCCCAAGCATGACTGTGCACAAATTGAAAGGTTTATGAAGGTGGTTCGGGCTACATATGCTTACTAGCTGCTAAACAAAGTGCTTTCCCTGCGTCGAGGGTAGGTGAGTGAGTTGGGTAACAGGAAGAAACACTGTACATTCTGCAAAGAACAGCTTCCATGTGGGAAAACTCAACATACCTTTTACCAGTTTGGCCAGGGGAGACGTTCTTGGGTGCACCAGAGGGGGGGCTCCGCTAATTAGTTACATCCCTCTGGCATCTGCAGTTAACAGATGCAACAAAGGGTACGTCTTCACTACCCGCCGTATCGGCGGGTAGCAATCGATTTATCCGGGATCGATATATCGCGTCTTGTTAAGACGCAATATATCGATCCCCGAACGCGCTCACCGTCGACTCCGGAACTCCACCAGAGCAAGCGGCGGTAGCGCAGTCGACGGGGGAGCCGCGGCCATCGATCCCGCGCCGTGTGGACCCCAGGTAATTCGAGCCAAGATACTTCGACTTCAGCTACGTTGCGTATCTTGGATCGATTCCGTATCTTGGATTGCCCCCCCCCCCCCCCAGTGTAGACCAGCCCAAAGATCTAACCTGAAAGAGAGCAAACTACAGATTTCTGATCAAGATGCAGAGACTTTAGCTTGTAAGAAATCAGCAGGCAAATCCTCACCACTCACTTGACAATCTCTGCAGCAGGCCTCACTTGACAGGACAACACTTAGGAGATCAAGCTTCCTGACTGCTCAGCAGCTCCCAGGAACCACAGGAAACTTCCCCAACCATGTGCAAAAAGTATTTTCAATAAGAAAGAACACAAGGCAAAGACAATCTATACTTTACATGGACAGCTTTCAGGAGTGATCACAAATGATTTGCAAAGGCTCACTCAGAAATTCATTGGAAACACCAATTACAGTTTTCAGAGTGGTAGCGTGTTAGTCTGTATCAGCAAAAAGAACAGGAGTACTTGTGGCACCTTAGAGACTAACAAATATATTTGAGCATAAGCTTTTGTGGGCTAAACCCACTTCATAGGATGCATGCAGTGGAAAATACAGTAGGAAGATATATATACACAGAGGACGTGAAAAAGTGGCTGTTGCCATACTAACTATAACGAGAGTAATCAGTTAAGGTGGGGTATTATCAGCAGGAGAAAAAAAACTTTTGTAGTGATAATCAGGATGGCCCATTTCCAACAGTTGACAAGAAAGTGTGAGTAACAAAGTCGCAATACTCCAACAAAAAAACTTCAAAAACAGACTCCAATGAGAAACTGCAGAATTGGAATTAATTTGCAAACTGGACACCATTAAATTAGGCTTGAATAAAGACTGGGAGTGGATGAGTCATTACACAAAGTAAAACCTATTTCCCCATGCTAATTTCCCCCCCCCCCACACACACACACTATTACTCACACCTTCTTGTCAACTGTTGGAAACGGGCCATCCTGATCACTACAAAAGTTTTTTTTCCCCTACTGATAATAGCCCACCTTAACTGATTACTCTTGTTATAGTTAGTATGGCAACACCCACTTTTTCATGTCCTCTGTGTATATATATCTTCCTACTGTATTTTCCACTGCATGCAGCTGATGAAGTGGGTTTTAGCCCACGAAAGCTTATGCTCAAATACATTTGTTAGTCTCTAAGGTGCCACAAGTACTCCTGTTCTTTTTACCAATTACAGTGACAATATCCTTGGTGGAGAGTTTTTTCATGGCAAAGGCGTTGGTGTGTGGTGCAATAAATGCTGAGTTTGGGAGCAACTCACCATTTGAAAACACCACTAATCTTTGTATTTGTTTTTCTGTTTTGTTTTCTCTGATATTTCTTCCCGCTAAGATGCTATTCCAGGAAACTCCTTGTTGGAATCCTAGGGCACAGGTCAAAACGTTCTTAGTCGCCTAACTCATGCATGACTCCAAGATTGACCAAACGCTATTTCAAGCAAATTAGTCAAAGCTCAGCAGTTCCCTAAGACAGCACGCCTGTATTCACAGAATGCAATAACAAAGCAGCAAAACAGAAACATACCAAGATATTAAGCATTCAGACACTGTGTTGAGGGATCTGGCATATAAATACATAGAACAGATTGGAATGTTAAAACGTGTCACTGCCTTGTAAGGGACCCAGTGTGTGACCTTCCCTCACCTCACTCTTTTTCACGTGTTTTGAAAGGACTCTTCTCTTTCACATCCTCTTTGCAGTCATGCCGCACCCTTTAAAAAAAATGTCTACCTAAGCCTAAAGGAAGAGTCCCGTTTTCTGATCACTGCTTCCTGTATCGAGAGGCAATGGCAGAGCCGCTGCTCTGCTGAAGAGTAACAGTCCCCTTTCGCTCCCCCACAGGTCTCTGTACTCCTCCCCGCCCGCACCTGTCCACTTGTGTCTGAGTATTAGCTTCCCAGCTGACAGCCCCGGGGAGCTTGCAGCTAGCATGAAGCAAGTTTTGCAAGCCAGGAACAAAATGTAAAACCCGCCAAGAGGGAAAGCTAATAAACAAATACAACGGAGCCACAAAAACAAGGACTGACCTAACCTTCCATATCCACTGTCTCCTGAGACCAAACGCTCTCTGAATTAAATACACCTTATTATTTTATTTTAAAGATTGGGAAAACCTTTAGCTAGAGGAATTTTCTGTGATTTTTAGCAGCACACAGGACAACTTTCCAGCTACCTTCTCAGTGAAATTTACAACCATAGTCTTCTACATTCTCCCAAATTCCCCCAGCTTTTTTTTAATGAAAAAGTCCTATAGAATTGAATACAGAACATTCTTTTGTTTCTTTAGATCATCCTACCAAATTTAATCTCTCTTGTATAGAATTCTATAGAGCGCTTCTAAATCCCTACAGAAATTATCTCATTTCCTTAAAAAATCTAAAGGTTTGATGGTAATTTTAAAAGAACCCCACAGAACTTCGTTGGGTTCACCCCTGTACAATTCCAGGGGACTTTTCCATAAGCAGGGTTTTTCCCCATACCCTCCATCTGAGGCTAAAATTGATTCATGTTTTGACCGCGTTTCATTTGATTGTTTTGTTTTGTACAAGAGAATTCCTGTTTAAGAGCTGGTTTACTGGATGTCGAGGGGGGATTTCGCTGTATAACAGCCTGGGGTGGCCTGGGTCAGGATTCCGTGTTCCTGGCCCTCATGAGATGGGGGACACTTATTCAGAGATTACACAAAATGCTTTATAAGAGCCCTATAAAGGGCAGACTGCCGGCCCCATGACCCCACTAGCGCTGGGACTAGTGCCGAGGTGTAACCACCGTTGAAAAATGGGAAGACTAAAAGGGGAAATTTCAGGAGGGGAAAATACTGCCCAGATCAATTCGCTCAGTGACCCCCAAAACCCACGATTCGGAGCCTAAGCTCGCTCCGACCGGAGGGGTACAGCTCCGAGCACACTGAGTGCTTAACAAAGAATACAGGATATAATGACCCGGATCAAACCACCCTTTATTCAGCAGGTCATTGCCTAAGAGCCCCCACTGCGTGTCCTAGCCTACTCCACACTCGGACCTCTGAGGCCATTGAGACCAACATAGAAAAGGGGAAAGCGCCTCTATTGCGAAGATTGCCACTGAAGTGGCGTTGAAATGTCTTTAGAGTCCCTCTGTAAACGGAACGAGCTGCTGCTCACGGGCTACTCGCTGAGCTGAAACCTGTTGGAACCAGCAGAGCGCCGCTCTGACCGACCCGTCCACTTTTCCTATCAATGCGAGCTCAGCCACGGGTGGTGGCCGGGGAATCAGGCTCAGAGTGACCAGAAGGGAAGTGCTAGTTATCGTGTTACAGCCCCCGCTGAGCTCCCCAGCTCCCTGCTTTTGGATGATGTCAACTGCAGAAACCCAGTGCTAACAATTTTATAATTATGGGCTTAATCCTCATTAATTCCTCTGGCATTTAGGCTCAGACCTCTCCAGATGCCAAGAGGGAACAAAGATCCCAAGTGAAGGGCACTGCTAGCGTAGGAAGCGTCTAATAATGGGGAAAGGGGCTGGTTTCTTTAGCATAAGCGGACATTGCCCATTCCTTTCACAGCCAAGGTTTTGGGATTTAAATAATGCGCAGTAATGAAAATGGGACCATCATATTTGTGTGGGTGGAAAGGAAGCATAGCTCTCAAAGGAAGGGCAGTTGAAAGGTATGTTTACTGTACTGACATGAAGCCTGACCAGCTGAACTGGGATTAATGGGGATTTGGTGCGGGGGAGATGAGCCATTCCTAGCAGAACTGAGTGTGAAGCCATTTAAAGTTGTCACCATACTTTTATACAATGGACAGGACTTTGGACAAACAGGTGCAGTGAGGTCATCCTTACACCAATATTCACTGCACAAAGAAGTAAACTCCAGCCTTGATTCCTCAAACGATGGGAAATCGAACCCTGACTCGTCCCTGAAGTAAAGGCTCCATAGACAGGCCTATCATCTTCTCCTCTGATGGGAGACAGCCCAGTCACCAAAGAGACAGGAGTCCACCTAGGCTTGAGGGCAGCAGTTACGTGCTTATTATTACTAGATCTATGAGGTAGATAAACACAGTAACAAGCACACCACAATAGTCATCAAGTCTTCATGGGATGAACCTCATCCACAGTCTTAAAATAACCCTCGGTGTATATAAATATGTACTTGCCAGAGGATTTTGTACATCCTACAAATAAACAACCCCCTCCCTCCCCGAAGGGGGCATTCCCACATATTTGTATGAAGGTTGCTAGTTCTCTTGCAGCTACTACATTATAGGTGCCTTTTTCATTAGACTGTTTTTTGTTTGTTTGTTTTTGTGTGTGTGGGTCTGGTGTTTTGTTTTGTTTTTGTAAAGGCTCCTCTCTCTACAATATGGAATCGTGTGTGCTATGATTGATGCTCTGGGACTCAATGCAACCGTTCAGCACAGTACCTTTACAGTGCAATAAGTCCTCACTGGCAGGTGGCCCCGCTCCTTCACACAGCAATTCACACGTTTTGTCTTGTTCCAACTGATATCCATCGTCCTCCTCGTTGAAGTCACTTTTCCCGTTGCTGTTGGAAAATCCATTGGCGTGCATCTTCAGGACAGATCGCCGGAGGCACAGGAGCTCCTGGAAAGCATACCTGAAGTCCGGGCTTCTGCAGTAAATAAGGGGGTTGAAGCCGGAGTTGATATATCCCAACCAGTTCAGGAGGATGTACAGGTTAGTGGGGATAATCTTGTCCTGTATCACGTGCACGATGTTGACTATGAAGAAGGGCAGCCAGCACAAAGTGAAGGTGCCCATGATGATCCCCAAGGTTTTCAGGGCTTTGTGTTCCTTCAAGCAAAATTTGGAGGTCCTCCTGTGACTTGCTCTCCCGTTCTGCTCCTGCTGGTTGTTGTTCTGGTTATGAAACCTCCTTTCACATTTGTCTATCTTCTTCAGCTGCTTCTTAGCTACCTGGAAGACCCTGGCATAGACGAAGACCATGACCACCAAAGGCAAGTAGAAGGAGATGATGGAAGAAGTGATGGCATAGGCCTGGTTGGTGAAGAAGTCACAGCAAGTGTCGTTTTTGTAACAGAGTTTGGCGTCCGGGCCATCTGCTCTGTACCAGTGCATCTGGATAGGCAAGAAGGAGGTCAAAACAGACACCACCCAGACCACGAGGATGACAATCCTGGCTTTGCTTTTGGTCAGCAGGCTCTGATACTTGAAGGGGGAGGTGATGGCGAAATACCTGTCCACGGCAATGACGCAGAGGGTCTCGATGCTGGCCGTGACGCACAGCACATCTAAGGAGGTCCAGAACTCGCACCAGAAGTTCCCAAACATCCACTGCTTCAGGATGATGTGGCTGGCTCCGAAGGGGACCACGGTCAGCCCCATCACCAGGTCGGCGCACGCCAGGGAAGTGATGAAGTAGTTGGTGACGGTCTGCAGCCGCTGGAACTTGGCGATGGCGGTGATCACCAGGACGTTGCCAAAGACGATGACCAGCACGATCACAGACATCAGGATGCCCATGCCCACCATCCAGACGTCTTGCGACAGGTTGGAACTGCTCGGCTCCTTGCTGCTGCTCACATTGACCGTAGCAAGCACCGGGCTGGTGGGACTCACCGATCCCATGGCTTCCTACCCGCAGCAGCGCACGTTCTGCGCTCTGCTCCCTGCTGACATGCAAGCCTCGGGCAGCCCCGGGTCCGATCCCCCGCTGCACAGCGCTGGGGCTCTTGGCAGGCAAGTCTGGGACGGTCCGAAGTCCGATGCCCACTGCGCAGGGCCGGCGCTCCGCTCGCGCTCTTTCCACGCCAGCTGTCTCCCACGCTCGGTGCGCCTGGCTGGTGCCCTGGAGCAGTCACACGCGCGCTGTAGGAGATCCAAGCTTGGCAGCCCCCCGAGAAATGCCGGCGGTGGCTTGGCCGGGCTGGGGGCCTCTTGCAGTTAGACTTGTTGACAGATTGTTTGGTGGCTAGGAATTTGCATTTGTTTGTTCCCCTCTTAGCCTCCTCCCTTCCCTTCTGCAGCTGCAGCCTGGGCAGCTCCTGCCCTGCCAGGAGTCCTGTCTACAAGTGTCCTGAGCCCGTTATGTGTTGGGGAGCTTATAGGAACACCCAGCCGTGACATCAGGCAGCCCCCAGCCAATGGGCTGCTAGCAGGACACACACACACACACACACACACACACGGCTGACAGTGTTGCCGGTGCTCCTACTGGTCTGTCCCCTAGAGTGGTTTTCGCAGCCCCAGTCGCGGTCTCTCCCCTAGTTGACCGGGGAGCCTCCACTTTGATCCGCTGCAGCCCGCAAACGTCTCCCTCTCCTCACGCCCCAGCCCCGGCGCTCCTGGCAGCCCGGATCGCCGCTTGCCCCGGTCGCATCTGCCTCTCAAAGCAGGGCGCTCCCTGGGAACACAGCCCGCAGGTTGATCCCTGGCTCCAGGCGCTTTTGCTGACAGAGGCAGACGCGCCTTCCCTGGCGCTTTGGTTTCACTGTTGACACTTCGGCCCTTTTGCAGTGAAGGTTTCGATTCTGCTGCGACCGAGGGGGATTTTGCAAACTCTCTGCATTCACCCTCCCTCCTCACTTGTGCATTGACAGTGAGGTTGTTTGCGTGGGCCACGCTCAGTTCCCAGCGAACATTACCGCTTCGCAAGCAAGGTAATTTCCTCTCGCTAGTAAGTGCATGCTAGATCTTTGGGTGTTTTCAGACACACAGCTGCTGCAGCAGGGTCCTATGGAAGTGGATTGGCCTAGAAACCACCTGTGGAACCGTACAGTGAAAAGTTATCGATGCTGAGTGTAAAAGAGAGGAAGAGGAATACTTTCTCTGCACACTTTACCACCTAATCCCCTGGGGACCTACTGCTGTATAGCTCGCAGAGGCAGTTTGCCAACAGCCTGTTACTACTTAGAACTGAAGTTGTTCTACTTCAGCTTTAATTAAAATCATCTCGTAGCGCTGGGAATGGTACATTTCTACAGTCTCCCTGCCAATCCGCCAGTACCCTGAAATGCAGGTAGTTATAATGACTGAGACGGCTACCCATCTGTCTAGCTACTTTAAACGTTTAGCAAAGTTACAGGATCGGATATAGATCGGTATGTGCAGATATGATCGAAATTAAAGTTTTTGAGCAGTAGGTGCAACTGCTTTGTTTGCTAAATTAGGCTTCGAAATAGACTTCGTTTCTCTAATTACAGTATTTATCTTGCAACACCCTCCTTTTAAATGCATGTCTAAACTTAGCACATGATCTCTGGAACCAGGTCATTTAACCTGTGTAAAACTGGAAAACTTCCTTCCTGATTATGGAGGGCTAGAAGAAAATACAACGCATCATTTAGTCTGGAGAAAGCGAAGAGTTAGAAGCCGAAAGAACAGAGTTATATTGACTAGGCACAATCACTTTGAGACAGGACCCGAATCTGCCTCCCCCTCCAATTATTCCTGCTAGAGCTAGACTCATTCAGCGGGACACTCGCACAGCAAAACAGGGCTCAACAGGAGTAAGGGTGGCAGGATCGGGCCCTTTAACATTTTTCAATGTTCGTTTTAAAAGCAGGCACAGTATGCCATTGCAGGGGGAAGTCAAGTAAACTCATGCAATCAACTGACAGGGCAAAACTGGAACGGAGGGAAGCTTCCACAGGTCTGATCCTGAGAGGTGTTGAGGATACAACAGTATAGATTTCTCATTGTTAGTTTCCATCCAGATACTATCTGTCTGCCCGGGAGCTATCAATTGGATAAATCCAAGAGAAAAAAAGAGAATAGAGGGAGACCATGTGTCTTGGACTGAGTTGGAAGATGGCAGAGGAAGTGGAGTTCAAGAAATCTGGAAGAGATGAGGCCCCAATCTCAGACACATTGTTTGAGCTACATCTGTGCTCTCAGAGGCTATATACAATTAAAGACCAATATAGTCTATTTTTATAGTCAGTTTAGCTCATCCTGGCCCTTAACGCTAATAGAAAGACCTTATTCTGCCTTGGATTGTGCTGTAATTTGAAGTTTTGGACTGGAGAAAAGCAATATACAAGGAGAGGAAGGAATTTTTTATGTGCTTTTCTTACACCATAGCTTTGTTTCTTAGTTTTTCCCCCCCCTCTACCTTACATCGGAATTGTTATTACAGATTGTACCTATTTTATCTGGCTGTACACTCAAAAGATAATCTTTTCAAATTAAAGGTTAATAACTTTTAATATAAATTATTTGTGGCACATGCATGGGGTGAGTGCCTTTTCTCTCCACAGCTCGAAAGGTTTCTCCTTAATGCACATCTGCTTGTAATCAGTCACAGTTGTGACCCATCTCCAGTAAAACCATGGTACTGAACAAATTTATTCAGTGATTTCCCAAACACTTGAGAAATACTGTTAGAAATATGCCTGAGCTGACCATATAACTTCAGTGCATTCCACTGGGTGATGCTGAAGCCAGATATGGTTAACCTGGTGGTCTGAGTGTAAAAGCATTTCCCCCCAAAGCAGTTTGCTATGTTAGGGAATAAAGACTACCGCAAGCTCCTTTTCATCTAAATGGAGATAATTTTGCCTTTTATGTTTAATATCTGCTTGTTTGTTTATAATGAAACCATATTGACTCAGCCCTTCTTGTTTCTGAGATAAATTGCATTCCATGCAGTGTGTGAAGTCTTTTGGACATGACTTTAAAACCTGGGATCCTGTGGGCTGCGATTTGCATGGATTTAAAGATCTCCTGGCATTTAAGGTTAAGGATTGCAGTGGTGTTTTTGGCTAAAAATACACCTCCATCCATAGTTGTACAGTGTGCTGTGCACCTGGTAACTGCTGCCCTCCACACAAGAGATAGCTGCATTTCAGTGGTGATATATATATACCGTGTTTCCCCGAAAGTAAGACATCCCCCGAAAATAAGACCTACTTCCAGTTTTGCCTCTCGCTGTAATATAAGGCATCCCCCGAAAATAAGACCTCCGGGATAATAAGGCCACCCCGGAATATTAGGCCCCGAAGCTCCAGGAAAAATAAGACCTCCCCTGAAAATAAGACCTAGCGCATCTTTGGGAGCAAAAATTAATATAAGACACTGTCTTATTTTCGGGGAAACAGGGTATATATAAGCGTTTGGAGAATGGGGCCCACAGTTTGCAAAGCTCTTTGGGATGAAAGGTGCTATACAAATGCAAATATTATTCTTAATTAAATGGTTTGAAGTAGAGGGCTGATGATTAATCTTTTTTAGATTTCTGAAGGATTAGTAATGTTGAATCACACTTTAAAGTTATTAAGACATTAAACATTCATAGGGTTTCAGGATTCTGCCTCATTTTTCTATTGCTAATAGAAAATTAAATGTAAAAGTAATAAAACCCTAGATGTTAAGTTCTGCTGAGTAAACCTGCCTACAGTTGCTCTGCTTCTCTCATTGTCCCCATCACTTCTCAGGTCATGTGGTATGAGCAAACGTCTCAAAACCTACTGCTTCAAAGCCACTAGATGTCCCATGTCATGCAAATGCTGCTCTTAGGGGATGTATTTTTTCAGCCCAGAGCTGCTATTGATAGAGCGCTACATTGTACATAGGAAGTTTCTAAAAAGTTTTGCAGTTTTATAAAAGAAGGGCTAGTGAGGTGCTAGAAACAGGAAATAAGCTGTGAGGTTTTTGCTAAGTGTTGCAGACGTTTCTCTTAAGAAGTATCAACCACAGTACTGCAAGCATTTTCTGACCCTACCCCCACATTTTGTAGTTAAAAGCCACCCCTGCACACAGAATTTTTAACATCACTAAAATGACCAGTATTTAAAAAATGAAATTGATGGTCTATACACCACCTGTTTCCACTGGAAATATCCAAGGCCTTTGGAAAGAATAGGGTTTGGATAAGCAAAGCATGCTGAATGTTAAAACAGGAATTTCAGTTAACCGGAGATTGGGTAAATGGGGTTATACTCTAAATACATCTCTATCCATAGTTATAGGGTCAGATCCCGAACAGATGTAAATCAGCATAGCTCATTGACTTAAATTGAGTTACACCAATTGATGCCAGCTGAAAATCTAGTCCATAATTGTTTAATGCAGTCCCAGTTGCTTTGAGACCATTTAATAGCTTGCTCTTTCCATTCCTCTTTTGCACATGCATTCAACCCTCCCCTGCCCCAAAGCTAGTGGTACATGGTTTGCAGTGGGTACACTGAAGAAAATAATTGGGAGAGCACGCGGGGTATTAGGAGAGCAATATCTGAGAGGAGATAATGGGCAAGAGGAGTAGGGAAGGGAAGGTAGGATGCACTTGGGAGTTTAGGCACCTAGCTACCTTTGGGAATCTGGGTTTGTCACAACACCAAACCCACTGGCTTTTTGTCCTGTCTTAAGAGCTGGTCAAATAAATCAGAAAATGATCAACACATTTTTTTGTGAATAAAGTAGGAAGTTCACTTCACTGTACTTTGTGGGATATGATATTATTTATTGATTGTGTTTAAACATCTGCTCCAAGAGTTCAAAAAGCATATGACAATCTCATGACATTTATTTCTAACTTGCAATGCATACAATCACCATATCCCTAAACATTCCTTTTATATATATATATACACACACACACACACACACACACACACTATGCCTGTTTGCATCATTGCAAAAAAGCATCATATCTTGAAAAGAAGAGGAAACTTACTGGAAAATACCTGGGGGATAGTAAATGCTGAATTATTTGTTTGCAAGTCCAAAAGTGCTGCATGAGGCCTTGCTGCTCTCTCTCTCTTACACCCACAGACCCCTATCTACCTCTAGCAACTGGCTCAATTGCTCCCCTCACAACTGATCTCAGAACTCTAGAGCTCTCTATCATTTGGGTGGAGAGAGCCACTCAGCCCATTTTAAGTCTTTGCTGATTTATAGACTCCATGAACCACTGCCTGGTTAGCAGGGTACGGTGGGGCAGTCGGGAAAGGAAGATTTCCTTTGGCTCAGGCACCTATTGGTTCACAGGGCCATGTGCCTGATGGGCATGAGATATGATAGTATTATTTAAACGGTGAGACTTGTCTCTTTACAGACATTCCATTGAGTTTTTGTATGAAGATGGTCCATTGATTGATTTGTCTGGGCCTTGTCCAGCTTTATTAACTTAATATAATCTGCTCTGCTGCTCTGAAAATGAAGATCTCATTTGTTATCTCCAACACAATGTTTTCAAGAGTTGATTGTATTGTTAAGAAGTGACGGGGCAGGTTCTTTGTTCCACTAAGGCCATTATACCAGCCAAAGATTACCAGCAGCGAATTCTCCTTACCTAGATGTGAGGGGGAGGAGGAGACATGTTGAGCAGGTGACGGAGCTGAGGTCCACTTCATCAATCCTCTGCTGGTTGAAGGACCCCTATGCCAGCAGTGCCAGTGGCATGAGTTAGAGCACGATCGCTTTCCTGCTGTAACTTGCACCAAGGCCAGGCAGCTCTGAATCAGACATAGTGAAGAATCAGGACTATTATATTTATAGCATGAGTTTGAGGGGGTATGGGAAAATACTCCAGGTGAAACGCTGGCTCTGGTGAAGCCAATTGCCAAATTCCTATTGACTTCAATGGTGCCAGGATTGCACCACTGACATCTTATCAGAGTGAAGCCTTCAGAGGTCTCCGGGACTTTAAGCTATAAAATTGGAGCTCTACTAACATTATAAAACATTCACAAGACACCACGTGCACATCATAATGGATGCTGCAAACTCTGGGACGTGTTTCTGCAACCCTTTCTGTGTAAAGAAGATTGCAAAGCCGCAATACCACTATTCAAATAACATCGACCCATTCTAGTTTTTGTGGTCACT